GTATCCGAAGAACGGATTCATGCGACTAAAACTACCGCTGCTGGTGTTGTCAATAACCGTACCAGCATTGCTATTAGTCGCATTATCAACAATTCCACCGGAAGCAGTGCCAGCCGTTCCTCCGTCCACCGTGGAACGATGCATATCCTGGGAATGACCCGCGGCCGGATAGTTCGTCGACAATAATGGCGTCGGTCGCATCATGCTGGCATCCTGACGCGGTGTTCGCGGAACCATGTTCCATCGGCGGCCACTAGGAGAAAATCCACCATCTAGTGCACCATGGTGCTGACACGTGCGGAAGTGCCTCTGTGCAGGAATGGGCGAGTGCGACTGCTGAGGACTGTGGTACTGTCGGAGACGTTGATGCTGCTGCTGCGGCTGTGATGTTGAAGGACCAGGTTCCGGCAGCCTAAATAATGGAAAAATTAGAAGACAAAAAAAAAAGAAATTTAGAAGATAATAAACATACCGTTTTTTATGATTTTTGGTGCGTATTGCCCTAGGACGATTGCGCCACGTTTGGCCTAAAGTCGTAAAATCAAGCACATTAAAACTCATGAAGGAAAACCTTCACTGTTTTTTTAATCCATAATATTATGCATTATGCTAAACGACCATAAGCCAATCGACAAATAACGTTATGCCAAATGGCCATGATACCAAACGGCCTTATGCCAAACTACTTTAGGCCAAATGACCTACAACCTATCCTAGGATCACTAATCCGAAGTTGCGAGTGAGTTGCGATACGAAGATATCCCGAATGGTAAAATTAATCAACAAATAATCTGGATGATACCTCGAATACGTCGTTAAGTAACCAACCATAAATGACGTAGCATATTTTTTTACCAATTTAGGACCCGATCTCCCCCTTTTTTGCTAAACTTAATACATAACCGGTCACAATATCAGCAGATTCTCCTCCCCCCATAAGATTTTACGTCATGTTACGGCGAATGAGAACGACTCAAATTTGAGTTTAGTTCACTCATAATCGCCAAAAGTGCAGGAACTCAGCGATGAGTAAATTTGCCTCATGTTTTCCCAGGTTTTTCCAGGACTTTCCAGGGAAAAATTCCCGAATTTGAGAAAAGTAAAGATTGGATTCACTCAGTCTATTGATACTACTCCGAGACAGAATAAAATTTTCGACAATTTCCTCATTTTCCGCCAGATTTTTTAGGTTTTCCACAGGAAACCATGAGACAAATTTTACACATCGCTGAGTTCCTGCACTTTTGGCGATTATGAGTGAACTAAACTCAAATTTGAGTCGTTCTCATTCGCCGTGAAGGAATTCTCCTCGGAAATTACGAGGAACTTTGAAGTTGATCCCTTGCAAAAAGTGAAATCTTTCCTAGTTTGCAATATGATTGTAGTAACGGTAGAACCACACACGAAGTGACAGACAGTTAGTCGGCGAAGAAATCAATTAAAATAACGTGGTTTACAGTGATAGAATTTTCTTAGAAGCTTGTGTCATCAGCCACCAAATGGGCTGGTATTTTTGTTTTGATTTGATCATAGTTGATTTTGTGTGCAATGATCTTTGACAGTGTGCAAAGAGTCATTTTTTTTATGCATTTCAGTTTTGAGTAGAGTGAAAGAAATAGAACCAAAACATTCTTGTACATTTTGTGGAAATACTAGTACAATCCAGTAGTAGTGTTGCCATGTGGTACACTAAAAAATTGAAATAGCAGGTTAGTCACCAAAGTTTTCGAGCCGCTCCGTCTGTCACTTCGTTTGTGCTAGAAGGTCCCGAGGAAACGTGCTCAACATTTTGGCTCAGCTCTGGTACTCTATTCGTTCCCAAGCTAATCGATGCACCCCTCGAAACATAGGAAAATCCACGAACCCCTCATTTTATCTGTCAAACTTTCATAGCGAATCAAAACAAAACAACAAACAATTTATACTAGAATGGGATACGTTAATCAATTTGCTTGGGACCAATAGGCTAGTCAAGTAGTGAGCCAATTTAAAATCGTTAGCAGAGCTGCCAGGTGGTTTTATAAAAAATCTGTATCCACTCTATTAAAAAATCTGTACAAAATAACCATAAAAAGTGCTTAACCACTTATTCGGGCTATCGTACTAACCATACGGGATATAATTGCGCCATTTGTGATATCGTCCGTACTTATTTATAAGAGTGATATGAAGCCGTTTGAAAATGTATGGAGATTTTAGTTTCTATTCATTATCTTCCTGATAAGCAGTTTTAAATGCAAAAAAGTGCACGAGTTCATTACTATTTGATATTTTTAATATAGATGAATACAATTAATTACATCATTTGTGTGGTAGTTACACCGAAAAGTCGAGAGATGTCGCCCGCCAGTGCTGGTAAAATCATTTTTGCAGTATGGAGAATATCAGAAAATCCGCAATTTCTTACGAAATACATTTTCAATGCAAGTAAAATGTTTACGAGTTCTTGTATTTGTACCATTTTAATGTGCTCGGGCACTTTTCTTGTATTTAACATACATGCTTATATTGGAAATATTCAATTAATACTGTAAATCCCCATACAATCTCACAATCGTTTACCACCAGCTCCATATGCATCCGAAAGCGGTTGGTCCTCTGGTTGTGAACGGGCGTGACTGCGTTTTCCGTTGGAGGGAGTGAGAGAAGCATAAAAGAAACAGCAACGCCTCGAGCAGATCCCACTGCAAAAAATATGGTTTTTAGCACAACAATTAATTTTGGAGAGAAGGGGGTACGCTGATAAAATCGAGCAAGTTATTTTGTTTTTATAAATTTTGAATTTTTTTCTCAAGCATTTTATAAAAATCTGTATAAATCTGTATTGTAATTTAAAAATCTGTGATAAATCTGTATTCTGTATCGGGTCTGTATTAAGATTAAAAAATCTGTATAATACAGATAAATCTGTATAAATGGCAGCGCTGATCGTTAGTTTCGTGTTGATTGTTGGTAGTAGTGTTGCCATGTGGTACACTGAAAAATTGCAATAGCAGGTTCGTCACCAAAGTTTTCGAACCGCTCCGTCCGTATTGTGGCACAATAAAGGCCCACGCACATTAGATCCGGATCTGACGCGTTGCGGCAAAGTGACAGCTAAATCTATTGTTTAACTGTCAAATTTACGTCAACGCAACGCAAACGGATCTAATGTGGGGGCCTTAAGGCTGTCCACGAGACAGTTGCGATCAGCTGACTTTTTTGTTTGCCAAGAACTTTTGACAGATCACTGTTCACTCTCATATTAATTTCTGCTTTGTTTATGTTTACATTCAGCACCATTAACACCAGATCACTCACACACTCTTGATTTCTAGCTGTCAGTTCCACTGAGAAACGTCTCATCACCTTGTGATAGGTGAAGGCTTTTCCATAACATCGGAATTGGCCGTTGACAATCGCCGGTAGTCAGCAATATTGAGATTTTCACGCCCGGTTGTATTGGTGCGATATATGAGAGCGTGTTAGTGAAAATCCGAGGAAAATACATGACAAATCGCTATCAAACTCATTTTGACAGATCTAATTTCATACATTTTTTACTTCGGAGTCCAAGATCTTGAAAAGTTTGCAAGTTTGCAAGTTCGCAATGTGAAAAAAAAATCAAAGTTCTTCATTTCAAATATAGTTGCTAGCTTTGGAACTTGAAAAAATCTAATGATCCCTTATTTTGGAAATGTTCCCTTGTCTGGAATATTTATTTTTAAATAAAATTTCCTGAATTTTGAAGATGTTTCTAAATCTAGGATCATACAATTTCTAAGCATGAAATCAAAAACAAATGAAACCCACAGAATTTTTAGTTTTTTACTCCGAGATCTTGAATCTTGATTTTTTTTTCTGAGTTGGCGCAACATTTGTTTATGCAAAAATGGAATTCCCTTATAATTGGCTTCATAATACTCTTTAAAATCTTCTGCACAACACTTTTTGAATTCACTCTGAAATGATCTCTTAGCAATTCCCCGAAAATCATTGGAGTTCTCCTCAGCATTCACTTAGTATTCTCCTAAAATTCCCATGGAATTAAAGGGTGATACGGTCAAAATTTGGTCAAGGGAAAACGCGTGTAAATCGGTGAAATCGTTTATTTAAAAAATCAAATTAAATTTCTTTTTCAAGTTCAATTAGTATAAAATTCAGGAAAAATATTCAGTTAGGCTTCCGCTTTTCCAAATCCGAATTGCCGGGCCTTACGCTTGACCCCTGCCATCAGATTTTGTACAGCCACCTTGTCCACCTTCTTCACCGCAGAAAGCCAGTTTGCCTTGAACTGCTGCTCGCCCTTAGCAGTTTTTGACGTAGGACTACGTCTTTAATTTCTATACTGGGGGCCACATTAAAAAATCAAAATTCAGACATGTAACGAAAAATCCCAAACACGGACGCAACGATAGAGCGCAAATCGAACACACGATACATTTCGCATGCTCACATGAGCGAGCTCAATAGCTTTCGAGCAACGGACGGATAAACGTCGGAGACGACGTATGAGCGCAACAGCACGCATCGCACCAATACGAAGACAACGACGATGACGGAAACACCCACATCGACCGGAGAAAAGGCTTTCTGCAATAGGTAGCATGACTAGGCCGCCGTCATCCGGTCGGCATCGACTTGGTTTGGCCACCATTTGAAAAACAACCAGCCCTTTTCAGGGCCACCACTTCAAAAACGGAAAAAGTTAAGAACTAAATGATCAACTGTTCCGTCCACTAGATAGCGGTCCTACGTCAAGCTTACGTTCGTGCCCCTAGGCACAGACCCTTCTACTTTTTTGGTCTTCTTTAGGTTCCGCTTGACAATAGCCCAGTATTTCTCAATTGGGCGGAGCTCTGGCGTGTTGGGAGGGTTCTTGTCCTTGGGAACCACCTGCACGTTGTTGGCGGCGTACCACTCCATGGCCTTTTTACCGTAATGGCAAGATGCCAAATCCGGCCAAAACAGTACGGAACAACCGTGTTTCTTCAGGAAAGGCAGCAGACGTTTATTCAAACACTCTTTCACGTAAATTTCTTGGTTGACAGTCCCGGAAGCTATGAAAATGCTGCTTTTCAAGCCACAGGTACAGATGGCTTGCCAAACCAGATATTTCTTTGCGAACTTTGACAGTTTCATGTGCTTGAAAACATCTGCTACCTTTCCCCTTCCTTTTGCCGTATAAAACTCCTGTCCCGGAAGCTGCTTGTAGTCGGCTTTGACGTAGGTTTCGTCGTCCATTACCACGCAGTCAAACTTCGTCAGCATCGTCGTGTACAGCCTCCGGGATCGCGCTTTGGCCGTCGTATTTTGTTTATCATCGCGATTTGGAGTCACTACCTTCTTGTAAGTCGATAGTCCAGCTCGTTTTTTGGCTCGATGCACGGTTGTAGACGATACACCCAGCTTATTTGCGGCATCTCGGAGAGAGAGGTTAGGGTTTCGCTTGAAACTACCAGCAACTCTCTTTGTCGTCTCAGCGGCTTCCGGTTTTCGATTTCCCCCCGATCCAGACTTCCTGGCTGTCGACAAACGTTCCCCAAACACTTTAATTACATTTGTAACGGTTGATTTGGCAACTTTTAGCGATTTTGCCAGCTTTGCGTGCGAGTAGCTCGGATTTTCGCGATGCGCGAGCAAAATTTTGATACGCTGCTCTTCTTGCTTGGACGGCATTTTGACAACTGAAGAGTGAATTCCAAAATCAAAATAGGAGCAACATTCTACACACACACACCTTCAAAATGAGGGGTGTTCAGGTTTTTTAAATGCAAAATTCCGGAGTGATTTGAGATTTGGGCGTAATTGCTTTTGTAAACAAACACGTCAATTACTTATTTCTCTTGAATAAAAGTTCAATCTCACAAACAAACTATACCAAATGATAGAGGAATCATTCCTCTATCTCATGGTGTTATTACTTTTCGAGATTGAGCTTTTATTCGCGAGAAATCGGTGATTGACATGTTTGTTTACAAATGCAATTACGCCCAAATCTCAAATCACTCCGGAATTGAAAGAAATACGTCAAGTTGATATTGACCAAATTTTGACCGTATCACCCTTTACCATAGGGATTCCTGTTTAGTTCCGCTCAGAATCCCCATTAATTCTTTGAAATGCTCCTCATGATTTCATTGGAACTCTCTTTTGAATTTTCTAAAAATTATCACCGGAATATCCTCGAAATTGCTTTGAAATTTCCTTCACATTTTGTTGGAACTATCCTCGGAATTCGTAATTAAATTCGCTTCGAATATTCCTTGGAATTACCTTAAAATTTTCCTTAGATTCTTTTGGAATATTCCTAGGAAAACCATTGGAAGTATTTTCAGAATTTTCGATGAATTCATTTCAGAATCCCCTTTGAATTTGTTCTAAGAATTCATGGCGTAAATTTAAGTGATTCAACTAGCACAGAACAGAAGTGGAACTTCGGATCAGAAAGTAGCTCCACTTTTCATTGGCGAACACTAGCGCCTGCAGTAAAGGTGATTACTTTTAGAGGCCACAAATGGCCACCACGTAGGCTATACATGCACTTCCACTTAGAATTTTTAAATAACACACATCTCGGAAATTAATGCCCCATTTCTCCAGAAATTGCTACTTAATGTATGCTGCAGTACAGCAAACGTGGAGTAATAGTTTCATTGTGGTACGTATCGTAGAAGCTGATATTTGTGCTGTTAAAGTTTCGAAGTGCAATGATAGTAAGATATGCAGCATGCTATGATAGTGAACGCTACCACATCACATCGCTTGTTGAGCAGAAACACGAACCAAGTTTTGTTTGCACTTCCCCTTCTGTTCTGTGCTGTTAGCCTATGAAGTGGGTTCTATGATTAGTAGCTTTGATTCGCGTAAAAATAGTAAATACAGTCAATTTGCAGTTGATTTTTGTTTTGGAAAAGGTTTCTAATCATTCACCAATCCACAGAAGAAACCAAAAAACCTTTTTGAAGAGTTTGGTTCTTTGATTACTTTTTATAAAATAAGCTTCAAACCATCTTAATTAGATATATGTACATTACAACACATAGGACAATGGTCTCTTCAATCTGTTTTGTTTCCAACGATTCATGCCGATAAAAACTACAGAAAATTGGGAAAATTTCATGAATGATTATTCAATACTCACGTCGAACTCCGACCTCCTCCCGGATGGGTCCCGTAGGCCATGAATCCCGACGACCGGCTTACGAAATTACGCGCTTTCTGCTCCGAAGACGTTGGCGAACGTCCCAGACTGCTAAGACTGCGACTTTCGTCGATTCTTCTGTCGCCCATCCAACCAACATTTTCATCTTCAGATTCATTGGTCAGATCAATCGGTTCCCGCCCATTCTCCGCGTCTGGATAAACCACAACGACATCACTATCATCGCTGATACTGCTCGTATCGGTGACCCAATCCAGCTGCAGATCCGGTGCCGAGAGGACGTCACTTTGCTGCTGAGAATCCTGGATTTGTTGCGATTCGACCTTAGCACAATCCAATGGCAGCTCATCATTGTTCGGTTCTGGGCTGGGTTGGTTGTCCACTACATCCTCAAGGCTGCTTGTACTAGAATTGATCACCATCATGCTCGTATTCGTGGAGTTGTTCAGATTAGGACCGGAAGTATCGGCGTGGGCTTCATTGATGATGTCAGTTGTGTTTACCGGTTCCACTTCGACTTCGGTCAGGTCACTGAGATCACAACCTGCCTCCACATTGACATCGGATGTGTTTCTGATTTTGGCAGCAACGTCCGAGCCACCACTACAATAATCACCACAAGCATCGTCGTTGTCGTCGTCGTCGTCATCATCATCATCATCGTCGTCGTCGTCGTCATCGGAAAAAACCGGAAAGCGGTTCCCGTGCTTATTACCTCTATCCTGCTGCAAGATGTCTTGCAGGTGACGATTCAATCCACTTGGACCCGGCATTGGCTCTTCCGAGGGAACAGCTACTGTGGGAACATATATTTCCTGCTTGTCCGATTCAGCCTTACAATCTTCCTCCTTTTTGACTTGCGATTCCTGTTTAACGACGTTGGCACATTCTACTTTTGGTTCTTTCTTGATCATATTATGGTGGTTCTGACAGTTTCGTTCTTCACCTTGATTGGGCAAACAAAAATCACAGGGACAGTTATTTTCCTGTTTGATCTTGGCACTGTCGCCCATTTCCGGTTTCTCTTCCTTCTTGATTTGTAGGAGCAGGTTTTCGCAAGGCCTATTTGGTTCAGATAAACTCTCCTCCGGTTCGGCTTTGACCGGCGGCCGTGATCGGCTGGGCGGGGGTTCCCTTTTGATCAGTCTATAATCTACTGATCCGACCACCGGGTGATGGGCATGAGATCTCTCCAACTGTGTAGATTTTTTGGGTTTATTGTGTATATCACAGTTGTGGTGGCGTTTCCGGTTGAAACAACCACGCCCGTCTCGATCCCCACTACCAGCACCTGAGTAATGCGGCGTATGATGGAAGTTTTGATTGTTCCAGTTGGAAGTGGCTTCTTCTGAGGATCGCGGAGGTCTTGAGTAGGACCTCGGTCTCATAGCAGAGTTTGAGCCATCGCTTGAACCAGGTACTGGATCGACATTCACCGGTTGGCGTACAATGAAAGACCCGGTACCGGTAGGACGCGAACTGAAAGCTGTATGGTGAAAACTCGGTGAGCATCGATCCGATTGCATTATATGAGGCGAACGATGATGATGCTGGTGGTGATGAGATGGTAAATACCCAACCGAAGTGGGGCCAAACAAGCCAAAATTGGTGCGAGCCGTTTCTACATGCGCCGATGGAGGAAAATAAGCCATGTTATCGTAGAAATTGGCAGCATTCCGTCCCCGTGGCAGGACCAGTGGTGGCATATAGTCATGTAGGCCACCGGTTGCGAATAGCGGTGCGTCAACATCCAATTCTAGAACAATAACGAAGCAAATTCAGTTGCGATTAGTGAGTACTCGGTTGTTTAAGACAATAATGACCAACCTGAAGCCTCGGCTGAATCAACATTGGATTGAATTGCCGTGTCCAGAATATCCCGCAAGGTGTCAGGTCGAAAGACTCGACTGGAGGAAGGGGAAGAATGCATGTCTGTTTCGCCTCCGCCATTGGATCCCGTATTTTCATCCATAATTTCCGAGTTTTTTTTTTAGAACAATCCTTATCAACTAGAAACTCCGTCTCACTTGATGACACAGACAAATCTTCCAATAATGCTGCCTATTACAATACACATTATTTACACACCAATATTGATCATTGCACAGATTCACCTTACTGTTCGTAGTTAGGTCATATTTTCGTAAACAACATATTTTTATGGTTGTCACTCAGTACTTCATTTACACGAACCAATAGACTCCGAACGATCCTGCTCAGCCAAAATGTTCTACCATTGAACCAATCTTATCTAAATTAATCTAGCTTGCGTTTCAGTTCGCCTTACATTACAACAAATCCATCTGGTGCCATTAGATTGCAGCAAAATGGCAAATTTTCCTGTCTGCCTTTGAAGCCTTTCACGAGAAAAAAAAAAGTTGTGCGTATTGTTCTGTCTGTTTCTTCTACTTATTCACAATACAAAATTACACTTTTCGACAAAAGACAAATCGCAGCAGGATCCGGATGATCCATACTTGAAATTATGCGATTATTATGACTATTATTCACAGCTGATGAAACATAAAAACTAAAGAACCCGTCCGAGTGGTTGACATTATAATTTTGAAAGGAAAAACGTCGCAGTAAATTAACGCGATGACGACGTTCGACAACCATCGCACAAACGTAGGTTCAACACACACAAAACTAAACCCCGTTGTTGCTGCTTTTGTTGGCTGTTTTTTCGGTCAGACGGACGATTGGATCACTTTTTTTTACGAGTAAGCGAAATGACGGTGGCAAAGCAGCGGAGATCGATCGAGGACGAAATTCGAAGAGAGGTAAATAAAACGTCACTGATGGATCGTTCGAAGATAATGGCACTGGAGCTAATGACAGTTCGTGGAACTTTAGCTCAAACCGAGCTTTTAAAAGTCAAATTCAACAAGGGGCGACACAACTTTGATGTCAGAAAACAATTAGATAATGAGCTTTCATTAGGGCCAAATTGGTAAATGCCGCATCATACATAATCGAGGATAAAGCCTTGCCTTGATGCATGTCTGATGCATAATGCCTTGGTCAGACTACAGATTTATAACATGTTAAAGCGCTATCTTTATGGTGATTTCTATGTTGTAATTATTTGACAACCGTTAGTACTAGAATTTTGACTAGAATAGGGTACGTAATCGATTTGCTTGGGACCAATAGGCTACTAAAGTGGTGAGCCAATTTAAAATCGTTAGTTTCGTATTGATTGTTGGTATTACCACCGACAAACCGACTGACACTTAATTCTGACTTATGCCCGAAAATCGTAAACGGCCGATTTAAATGTGCAGTGATCCGAACTGTCAAAACCATAGGATTTTTTTGATCTAGATAAAAATAATTCGTCCAGAATAGATCAGACACGAACCAATTAATAACTGTTGCATGCGGGTTCATGGCATTGTTCAATATTTCCCGCGAACACGGAGTCAGATGTCAGTACACACACAAAAAAGTCATTGCTACATTCAAAAAGATCGTTGCTAAAATTAAAAGTTTGCATTGTTTCTTTTTGGTAGATAGCGGTTCACTTTTAAAATGAAAGTCAGCCAACTTTCACATTAAGAGTAATTGCCCGTTTACTACTTTTAAAAGTTTAAAATTTCAAAATAAATTGTACAACTGTCAAATGAAAAGCATTACAGTGTTGAAATTAATACTGGTTTAATTTTGTTTAACAACAAACTTTTTGGCATGAAAGTTTGATACAGTTGAAATGTCATGTCATGTTTTCAATTGAAATAACAAAATTTTCATCATAAAAATATTTTTATTTTATGTTCTAATGCTGTGTAAAATTTACAGTTTCTAATATGTAATAGAAAGGTTCATAAATACATTTAGCACAGACAAACAGACATAACACTCGCAAATTGTTCATCGAACAAGCATTTAACGGTCAATTTAAAAGTATCGTAGTTGGTAGTTGTGCGGTATCAAATACCCTCCGCATAGAGATGCGAGCCGCCCACTATCCATCACGCACATAACCCTGCGCACTCCTCAGCAGACGCGACGGGTGACAACGAGAACACGCAGCAATTGTCTCTCGACCTCTTTGCCCTCGGACCACGACCGCGTACGGACGCATAGGTAAACTCTCCGGAGAATTCCAACAACAGACACCAAACCTTACTCCGGAACAATCAGGCTTTTCTCCGGATAGGTGGAACCCTACATTGGCGATCCTGCCAGGAGGATTACTAGCCGGAAAATTACTATCGGATTTTAATTTTTTTTTTCTCTTGGCTGAAATATGGATGTGTCTTGCAGACCATCGGAGTATAGAAATAACCTAAAAATGCGATGGCGTGTCCAGATGACCGCCAGAATATTGGTGTCAGTGGTTTGTGACCTACAATGGTCCAAGGTGCGTCTAGAAGACCACCGGAATGTTACTTACAAATGCCTTGTGACATGAAATGGTGCAAGGTGCGTCTGGAAGACCAGCGGAACATTGATCGGAAATTAATTATGGTGCGTCTGGTAGACCAGCGGAACATTGATCGAAAGTAGATCATGGTGAGTCTGGAAGAACACCGGAGTAAAGCGGTAGAGGAAGTTGAAACTCTTCTTAGTTTTATGGAATTTTTTTGAAGGAATGTGGAAAGTGTGAAAATCCCTTTCATTTTTCCATTTGGTAGATAACACGGAATGTTTGACGAAGGAAAATATGTTCTAGTCCCGATCGTTTGCAACGATCCGGTGGATGAGTTGAATGTAGAACAGGTTGATGGATCATCTTATTACGCAGACGAACTGGAGGTTGCTGCTCACTAAACCGGTGAGAGTACGGATGAAAGATTGCGCCGTTTGGAGGAAATGGTGGGAAATTTTTCGGAAAATCGTTCGCCTATAACTGTGCCAGTGACGGACAATCTTGACCGAAGTGGAAGAAATTACTTCCAACCATATTTCCACGCTGGCCTTGCAGAGATCCGTTGGGATCTTATCCCTAAGCTTCCTAAGGACATTCCGTCGAATAAACTATGGGAATCTTGGCAAAGTTTCTTCGAAAATTTTGAGATACACGGTAAGAAAAAAGTACCCAACGGCCAGTTCACTTTTACCTACTTTTGACTAGTTTGTCTCATTTTCTCCTTCTAATGTTGTCAAAAAAGAAGGAGCAAAACCACCCAACAGGGGTAGTAAAGTGTGGGAACCCAACGTTGGGTATAATCATATTTACCTACTATTGGGTACAACTAACTTACTTTTGGTTAAAAAGCTAGTGGAAAATTCCATACGAACTGCACACAAGTAAATCAAAATTACTTTGACCCGCTTTACCTACTTTTGGGTTCCTGCACTATAGTGCCGAGATGAGTGAAAAGAACTTAATTTTGGGTACTTTTTTCTAACCGTGTAGCAGCGTAGTTGTCCACTTTCACTGGGTCATCAGAACGTGCTAAATTGTTGTACCTCTCGATGGGAAAAAAATCTACAGGACATAATTAATGCAGCAAAGGTAAGCACCTACTTGAGGTCGATGATTGACGCGGCCGCGGAGCATGAAGCCTTCCAAGCAATGCGTCAAATGAAAGGCGAATCAATCGTTACGTTCCATGCCAGACTGACCCAGAAAGTGCGACTCTGTGGTTATAGCACGATCGACCAAGCGCGTTTTATTCTTACTTAGCTGCTCAAAGGCATGGAAAACTGGAAGCTAGCAATGACTGCTAGGACATACGGACACGACGCGAGTTATGTCGTGCAGGCTGCTACGAGAGTTGAAGCATACGATGCAGGAGAGCAAGCTGTGGAAGTGTCGCACAACCCACTCTAATAAAAAATAACTATAAACGAATGATAACCCAAATCATTGAACTATTCCACAAATGGTTTGGATGATACCCAGAACACGTCGTTAAGCAAATTAACCATACAATTTTTATTAGGGCACCCGATGTACGAACATCCCGTTGTGAGAGCCAGCCTTTCCCAATGCTCGAAAAACAGGCGAAATCAGGAATGGTCAAGCGAATAGATTCAGTGGTAATTCTCAGGAGTACCGTCAGGAACGACGCACTCGACGCTGTAGATGTGGTTTTTCGTTCCACAAAGGGAATTCTTGCCCCGCGTTGGAAAAGAAATGTAATTCGTGCGGTCAGATTGGACACTTTGCCGTGATGTGCCGTAGGAACTTCGGAAAAAAATCACATCAATTACGTACAGGAAGATCCACGCAAGCATCTTCGACGTATTTTACCCTAACATGAAAGGAAAAATTAAGATTTCCAGGAGTATTCTTCGGTTTTGCTCATATGATCAGTGATCACCTCTTATCCGTTATTGACAAGGAACAAAGTACCACCAGTGATGCGAAATTTCATGACACTCACGTGACACTCGTTTTCGCATCAACCGACTATCGCTGACAGATCGTTTTGTCACGCAGTGAGAGTTAGAGCCATGGCAAACAACAATCACCAGTAATGGTCGCTGCTCACAAGCAAAACGTTACACTCGCAGCTGATGATGAAAAGCACAACGAAAACAGTAAAGACTTCTGCAGTACGATCATGAGAAAAAGCGAACCCGAATAGAAATTGTAATGTAGGAAACATCAGCAGACATCTTCAATACATTAAATTTTAACGTATATTGCTGTACCCTTAATGTATTCAGACTTCAGTGTGACGTCCAAGTACATAAAAATACATTAGCCTCAAACGTTACATCAGAATCAAACGTCTTGACGATGTAAAATTTGACATCAGAATACATCCAACGACAACAGAACCTAACGTTACATTAGAATCAAACTTCATCACGATGTAATATGTTGCACGCATAAAACATCAGAATACATCCAATGACAACAGAACCTAACGTTACATTAGAATCAAACTTCATCACGATGTAATTTGTTGCACGCATAAAACATCAGAATACATCCAATGACAACAGAACCTAACGTTACATTAGAATCAAACTTCATTACGATGTAATTTGTTGCACGCATAAAACATCAGAATACATCAAATGACAACAGAACCAAACGTTACATTAGAATCAAACTTCATCACGATGTAATTTGTTGCACGCATAAAACATCAGAATACATCCAATGACAACAGAACCTAACGTTACATTAGAATCAAACTTCATTACGATGTAATTTGTTGCACGCATAAAACATCAGAATACATCAAATGACAACAGAACCAAACGTTACATTAGAATCAAACTTCATCACGATGTAAATTGTTGCACGCATAAAACATTAGAATACATCATATGACACAACAATAAAAAGTGGCTTGCAGTGCAGTGATGCCTCCTATGCATAGTTTTGTGACATTATCAATTACAAATAAAATTGAACTCTTTAGAAGAGTGGAAACGCTAATAAAAGTGCACTTAGACCAACAATCAATACGAAACTAACGATTTCAAATTGGCTCACCACTTTTGTAGCCTATTGGTCCCAAGCAAACGATTAACGTACCCTATTCTAGTCGAAATTCTAGTACTACGAAATGTTTGTTTTGATTCGCTATGAAAGTTTGACAGATAAAATGAGGGGTTATTGGTTTTTCCTATGTTTCGAGGGGTGATTCGACAAGCTTGGGACCGAAGATAGTACCAGAGGTGAGCCAAAAAGTTGAGCTCGTTTCTTCGGGACCTACTTGTCTTAGAGTTACCTCTATGCTTAGACGTTGTATCATAGAGGTAACTCTAAGACCAGAAGGTCCCGAAGAAAAGTGCTGAACTTTTTGGCTCAGCTCTGGTACTCTCTTCGGTCCCAAGCTAATCGATTCACCCCTCGAAACATAGGAAAAA